GAAATATACTAAGATCTTCATGTGAATCACATGCCCTGATACTAGCGCTGCGAGAGATGTTCGCATTTATTCAGAGCTTGCTGCTTGTGTTCCTCTTTGTTGTCCCGAGAGGGGCCATCCACTGCCTGCAGGTTGCCACCAGCTCGCCAGACTCTTTCTTCCGCACCTCCACCGTCACAGCCGCCATCTTCCCCTTCCGGCCCACCACTCGCCCGTCCATCTCCACCTCCTCCTGCAGTTGAGGCCGGCCGGAGCAGTGACGCAGAATCAGGTGGCGTTGATAAAAATGGAAGATTTGGTGTGGTGTGCTACTGTTGACCATGCCGTGGTGTACGCACGCGGCACGTACTTCGTGATGGGCGGGCGAGAAGTAGGACAGGCCGTACTGTACGGTGAGCACGTCCTCGCCTAGCGCCGTGAACACTGTTGGCTCTGCCTAGGAACACTCACACGAACGCAAAGAATAAGAAGCTCGGCGACCAACGCCCCGGCCGACGGACGGCCTGTATGTTGGCTTTCCTATTCACTAGACTTAGCAAATGAACACAGAGAGTACAGGGGCTACAAATAGGCCACGGACTGGCAAGGAGCTAACCTCCACATCCGGCCATCATGCCATGATCCGCATGACTTGCTCAGCGACGTCTGAGAGCCACTCGCTCATCCAGGCATCACGGCTTCTCCATGCAAACCGGCAACACACGCACACCACTCACTCTTGCATATCATCATACAACAAACTAGTCTCCTAACAAATTATGACTTGATCCTAGACACTAACTCGCACCGCAGCTAGCCTGCATGGCACGAACCTGGACATACCAAATTAACATGACACCACCACGGCGCAGCACACTAACGCACAGACACTGTCGTGGTTTATTCTAACAAACACCGCCGCCGCGCACACGTTGTCCGCCGCCGTCGCAATGGCCCCGGCGTGCCACCTCCCCTCCGCGTCCTGCATGCGCGCGCGCGCGCGTGAACAAGCAAGCACCAGGTCAGATCCGGGCTCAGAGAGCATCCAAGACGCGCGTTCGCGTCGGCAGGCAAGGCAAGGCAACGCACGGTGAGCGGCGCGCGCACGCGGAGCGAGCAGACGACGCGGCCGGGCTCGGCGAGCGAGACGCGGGCGCCGGCAGTCGCGAGCGCGGTGAGCGCCTTTCCCCCGCTAGCTACGGCGGGGTGGACGTGGCCTTCGCGGTCGACGCTGACGTCTTCCAGCCACTTCCTCGCGGTGGCGGCCAGCCGCAGCGCCTGCGTCTCGCCGGCGTCGCCCTTGTGATCCCGCGTGCCGGCCTTGTCGTCCACTCGTCCTCGGGTGCCGGAATCACTCTAGCTCCTTTATTGAGTTGCTCCAATGTCTCGATCTAGCTAGACGTCGTGTGAAATTATTAGCTAGCTACCAAAAGGTGCGCGGTGCGCCACGTACGTAGAGATGCCCCACTGAGCACCCGCAATGCCGTGTCGTGAGAGGTAAAGAATCATCCATGCTTGCAAGCCGTGAAGGAGCGATGCCTGAGCAATGTACGCTGATCTCGACGCTTCAACTTGCCTCGATGCTCGGTGTTGCCCGGTGTAGGTGCGTCGGACACGTGGGCGGCCAAGATTGTTGGAATACTACTGAGAACAGAGAGAGCTCAAGAGATGGAGAACATGTTTTTTTTCCGGAGTTACTAGCGCCTGGACTTCCTATCCAGGTGCTTAGCAGCCTGCTCAGCTGAGGCTGAAACGATCGTATATGATCGTGAATTATTATCGCTGGCTGTTTTGGTGTGAGAGAAAAATACTGTTTTGACTGGAAATTTACGATCGTTTACGACCAAACGAACAGGCTGGTAAATTCCTGCTGAAACGTTAATATGCAAATAAATAAAAATCCTGCACCATGCTTATCTGCGCACTGCTTCCTTCCTATGGACCCAACACTGCCTTATCCTCTCCCCTGCTCTCCTTTCACAAACACAACATTATCCTCTCCCCTACTGCTTCTCCTCCCATCGATGCCAGTGCCTGAGCCAACGAGATTTGCGGCGTGGAGGCGAAGGGACTCGCCTCGCGACTCGTGCCCATGCTCAAGATGCGCAACCGTCGGAGAGTGCGGCAAAAGGATCCGGCGGACGGTGCATGGTTCGACGACGGTGGGGCCTGTGCGCTCAACAGCGGGCGCCATGGTGGCTTGGAGGATCCACATGTCACAAGTGATCCGACCAAAAGTGATTTTGCAACATGAAGCAATGCGAGATGCAACATCAGGAGTTATCGTTTGTAACAACGAGAAATATATGATAAAATAACATCATACGATCCCATCAGATTCTAAGAAAAACGAATTCCTGCTAGAACAAACGGTGATGTTTCATGCGACATCCGATCGGAATCCCTTTTTGTAAAAGGGAGACTTTACAATTCAGCTATTGAAACATCCGATAATAACTCATGCAATAACAAAAAAATACTAATACAACGAAGAAATATTACTTGTTGCAACATCAGAACAAAGGCTACTACAACATTAAAGTCATTAAGCTACAACATGAAAGCGTTGCCTTCACGAAATCAGCCGGCAAGGAAGGATACCCCCATGGCAACACCGATTCCCACTTTAACATCTCAAAATCAGCCCGTGTTTAGTTCCCCTCCAAATTCCCAAAAAGTGCTACAGCATCCATCACATCGAATCTTGCGATACGTGCATGGAGCATTAAATATAGACAGAAAAAAACTAATTGCACAGTTTGGTGGAAAATTACGAGACGAACGTTTTGAGCCTAATTAGTCCATGATTGAACACTAATTGTCAAATAAAAACGAAAGTGCTTCAGTAGCCCAAATTACAAACTTCACTCAACTAAACACGGGCTCAACCATTGCAGCATGCAAAATCAAAAATTGAAACATCACAAATCCTATAGAGAAGGGCAAGCAAAAATCAGAATAGAAATCCCATAAAAGTAAACAAAATCCACCACGCAACAAGAGAAACAAATAATTGAAACAAATGAAATAAATACAAGAAACATCTCGACTTTACCGTTGTCACATCCATCTTGAGCGGAAGAGTCAGGTCGCCCACGATGGTAGTGGTGGGCGAGGGGCCTGGGCGAAGCAGCAGAGGAAGAGTGGCAGTAGGCGAGCGTGCGAGTGGGGGAGGTGGCTAAGTAGGGGCATGGACGGCGCTGAGCAGGGAGGACCGCGTCCCCGACGCCGGCGAGCTCACTCCGAGGAGGGATGACCGCAGGTGACGACGAGGTTGTGAGGCGTGCGGGAGGCAGTTGCGAACGCCGCCGCGGATGGCGATGAGGCAACGCGGCGTGGGGAGGGAGTTGCGAGGGGCAAGCACCACCACCGATGAGGCATCTGCGAGCACTGTCGCGAAGAGAGAGGGCTGCCGCGGAGAAAGAGAGAGGGAGGTGAACAGGATGAGTGGCGTGGGGAGGAAGAGGATAGACGCGTGGGTGGCAGGGCATTTGGGGGGGGGGGAGGGCGCATGAGCGTGGGCGGTGGGGAGCGTCCGAGCTCGCGTCGGACGTAAGACGCATATCATTACCGTTTTTCTGCGCGGTATGGAGAACATGTGTGTCTTGACTTCGATCATTTGCGCTCCAATAATACCTACCATATCCATTCTAAATTATAAGACATTTTCACTTTTCTAGATATTCTCTCTATTCTGAATTGTATGACGTTTTGGTTTTTTTAGATATATTGTTTTTTATCTATACATCAAGACATAGTGTATATCTACATACTATAGCAAAAGTTATGTATCTAGAAAAGTCAAAACATCTTGTAATTTAAAACAGAGTGAGTATATAGTTTTTCTATGTACTTAGATATACATTATGATTTAGATACATAGTAAAAACAATATATCTAGAAAAACTAAAACGTCTTCCAGTTTAGAAGAACGGAGGGAGTACTTAACTACTCATAGAATACATGTCATCATTTTTTCCTATGTAAAGGAGAGAAGAAAGAGGAGCTAGCTCTTCGTGATGAGGGACCCTCCAGAGCAAAGTCAACTTGCTATCTCATGTAAACTTAGAAAAAAGACAACAACAGAGTCGCCCAACAATGCTATATAGAAAAATATGTAAACGTGGACTCATGAACATAAGGCATATAGAACTTAATTCATTTACGAGGTAAGTTTGAAGCGAGCGAGACCGCCTGATTAATTTCACGACAACGGCTTTGTTGTTGTTGTGTCTACCTTCTGCTGTGGATCATGCGCTCATTCAGTTCTTGTTTGACTACACTCATATCCACATCAATCCACAATGTGTTGGAATAAATTAGAGTGAAATTAACTAATTTCTACTCAATCCACTGAAACACATAAACTGAAGTTAATATAAGTGTATCCAACAAGCCCTGAGGTGCACCTAGCCCAAAGCCTGTAACAAACATTTTTCTACTACACTTCTACTCGCTCCGGCGAGAAACTCATGTAGTTTCAACCGGGGATGCTAGGATAGTTAGTTTACAAAAGTCAGAAAACTGCTGAGAAGAGGACACCAGACAAAAGCAAGCCTGTTCGGTTGGCTCGGTTGGCTGGTTCGTTTCGTTGCTGGTTCGTGAAGAAGTACTGTTGGTTGGTTTGTGTGAGAGAAAAATATTGTTCCAACTGAAAATTTACGATCGTTTACGACAAGCCACAGTCAAACGAACAGGCTGAGTTTACAAGTATTTCAAACATGACATTGGATATACATACTGGATACGGTAATCGAGCTGTTGTTAAGTTGCTAGCATAGGTTAAGACTTAAAACTCATGCTTCCATATACTGCTGCCGACATTACACAGATGGTCAGACTCACGGTCCAGTACAGCTGCTCAAACACACGACATACAGTACAGCAGGGTCCAAAACAGCTGCCGAAACAAGGGGCAAATGAGAGCCAGTACACCTCCGACCCTTCTGAACACGGACTGGAAATGGAGGGACCCAGTGTGCCTATTACTTCCTCAGCATGCCCTCTCAGTCTAGTTCCCTCTAGGAGAGCAAGGAGACCAACGAAACGAACTCCGAGGTCATTCTGCCTTTTGACCTTGTGTTGATGACAAAATGCTCTGGGTACTTTCTGAGCAGCGCCAGAATGCCAAACCAAGGCCTGCCCTTCGTCTCCGTTGGTGACCAGTCGTCTTGTGTTAAGTACTTTCGGACCCTGCTGGGGTGCCACACGTTGCCAAACTGATCAAGAAGCTGCAAGTAATCAAACACAGTTATAATCTGGATGTGGCAACAAGTACAACAGTTTGACGAAACAAGGAATTTAGGAAAATGCATATCACATGCTATATTTGAAAGCAAAACCTAAAGGTATTAAGTAGATAAAGCGATAAAGAAAAGTTCCATCAATGGCAAGTGGAACATCAATGATGGCCTATATGAGCGGCTCAAGGGAGCAAATTAAAAGCAACTATATAAATTCTTGAAACAGATACTGAAGGGTTCTTAAATAACATAGTAAATTAGTAACCATAAATCATAACTAAGAAACCACCATCTCATGTAAAAGAGGACCAAAGCTTCAGTTTCTCGGTGCTGCCGTGCTCGTACAAGTACAAACTGCACAACTGAAAGGCATAGGTTCTAAATAATAGATAACCTTACTCTGCCTGATTTTAGCCCTGGTTTTTTGGACTTGTACCACATATCACTCCCACGTGTGAGAACGGACAGACAAGATGCTGAGCAACTAATAGCACATGACATCACTTTAAGGAGACCAGGGTATATTTAGAAATTGGTTAGAATATTACTCCCCATGCGGATCAATGTAGGCGTTATTTTGTTTCAAAAAAAAGTCAAACTTCATAAATTTTGACCAATGATTAGTTACATTATATGCATGTTCAATGTACAAAGGTTGCAAAGATTCATATTCAAAAATTAAAAACAATGTTGATTTTGGAGCAATTGGTAACATGATCTAAGCGAAATCAATAGTCAAACTCTACTTCTGATAACTTTCTTATTCTAAAATATGAATTACGCTGAAGAACAGAAGGAGTACACTCAGATGGGGAAATAAGCATTGGGGATGGAATAGAACATTCTATCTTTACTTGCTTGCTACTGGATACATTACAATACCTTGACAGGGATAACTTGTCTTGAACCAAAATAAATAATATTGAAACCTAAGAAAATCAATAACTAGTGCACAGAATATCTAAAAGAAAATAACCCAACTAAAAATCTGCATTCATAAATTACAGCTTATTGTGAAAAGGATCTTGCCACTACAACAGCTCGGTGCTACATTGCTTTTTCAGTAATTTCTGTGCAACTGCTGCGGATGTTGGGACCACGCCCACAACAGTCTATTAGGCAACATACTGTGCAAGTAAATTGTGTTTCTTAATAATGTTAGTTGTATGGGTCTAGGTGCTAGCAGACCAAGTAATGAGTAAATATACTAGCAGTTTTGTAGCCTACAGGCACAGATAAAATGATTCTAATGTACTTCAGAGTTTTTCTCAGGTCAGCTGTATACGCCTTGAGGAAAGCTTTGGCATGACAATGACTGCTAACACAAGATATAGGAAAAAGGCAACATAACCTAGGCTAAAGTCCAGATAATGTGTGCATTAGAATTGTACTGCTGATGATCAGGATTATCTATTTCAGATGGAAGCATAGGCTATTACATGGTGATCTTACAGGGTAGGAATGCTAGCATTTTGACTAACATTTCCAATTGGCTTGTGCCCACAAGTTTCGCATAGTCATATATGTAGTCAATCCAAATTCCATTTCCTTAATGATGTAGCCCTATGGTTCATCCATCAGTTTATAAACACATGATAACACTAGTATGTTTGACTTGATGATTCGGTTGGTTAAGTAGCAGGAGACAATTGGGACTAATCAGGGCAAGAGATAAAAAAAAATGACTTCAGCATCGAAATGGCAGAGGTATATATTTTTATTGATTTGCATAACAAACCTCTGTATGGAGTTTTGCCATGGGCATCCATTCTCCAGGGCCGCAGAGGTCAGATAACACTGTGGCAACAGATGACACAACATCCTTCTCTTCTGCTTGAAGGGCTTGTTGGTTGTCAATATCCCTGTCACCCCTTGATCTTATTTCTGTTCTACTGTCTGCAAAACAAACGGAAGACCATTGAGGTACCATGAATGAGCTATTTCAGCACTGTGGATAAAAAAAATTCCTCCCAATGGAAATAACTCTAAAAATTAAGAATACAGTACAAGTGTTTCCAATAGAAGATCTATAATTAGCAACAGCAACAAAGGACAGCAGGATCGACAAACTTTCATTGCATCATTTACTTATTTTTAATCCCGTAAACAATAAAAATATTATTAGTAATTTACTGTGTGTCCCACTATACTATTACTATCCAGCCAAGGTAAGGCATTCAGATTGCTAGAATTTCATATTAGGAAGACATATAAAAAAGAGATACAACTACATTTGAACATAAAAGAGACTTCCAGTTGTGCGAATACATATATAAAATATTATAAGGTACTCTTGTAACAAAAAAAAAAGTTTTTTTAGCACAGGATTTTCATCAGCATTAACAAAGTGCTATATTTCTGTAAAGAAAGTATTCATAAGCATCCTTCATTGTAAGTAAGAGTTACCAAAGTTCCCTTAACCATCAAGTTTTGTTAGGCTGTGTATATTCTATCCTATCCACTAATATGGAATGTTGGCATATCCTTATTACTATGTGTTCTGAAGTCAATGCACAACTAGATTGAATGACTGTCTACGAACAATCACCATTTAGGCATTTATACTATATGCTCCTTTCACTATTCAACAGGAGGATGAGGAAACATAAATCATATCCAATAGAAATACACATATGTAGTATAGATGGTACCTTCACCTAGTGTTCCTATTGGTTCCACATTGATTCTATGCCCACCATAGATATCCAAGTCTACAGAAGACTTCTTGTTTCTCTTTATCAGCTTTCCCCTCATCACAGTTTCATTGATACCATTCCCAATCTCATCAACCTCTCGACCATAATCGTCTTCAAAGGAGCGATCATGAAACTCTGACAAACGAGGGCGGCCTGGCCGTGCATGTGCATACGATGGTGGAGGAAGCTGCGGTGGAATAATAGGAGCATGCCGAGCAGAAGCAGCTGAGGCGAAGATGGACCGCGTTGGGAGTAGGAAGTAGAACTTCTTGTCCCCAATCTGCAGCAGATCCTGAGAATCAAGCTTCACAGGGGGATTTCCTGGAAGGTGCAGGACACCCTCGACAAGGCACCCGTTCTTGCCAATGACATCGAGCGCGAACCTGCGGCGCTGGAAGTCGTAGAATATCCGAGCGTGGTGGCGGGAGATGTTCATACCCCCACCGAGGCTCGAGAGATCCACATCCACTGTCGATTTCTTGCTGTTGCGTCCCAGCATGATGGAGTATGTCTGCATGTAGTACTCGAAATCCTCTCCCTGGAGCTTCGCAAATCCTGCATCCACTTCACCATCTGCGCCTGAAGACCCGCCGGGCATTGAACCGGCGCCCAAGGGGCGGCCTTGACGTCGGGCATCAGCGGCACACCCGATAATTGTTGCCACAAAACGAAGTTAGTAGGATACACTTACGCTTGAGATTAGATCAGATCCGAATACAGATAGACAGATAGCTTAAGTTAGGGTTCGGGTGCTCAGTTTTGCACGCAAGGAAGGGAAGAGAGGGCATACCTGGTGCGGTGGGTGCTCGTCGCCGGCTAAAGATCCGACGAAACCCGGGAAGCTGCTAGTAGGGCAGCGCCGGTCTCTTCAAGGGTGTGTCCGGTCGCCTGGCCCCGTCGACGGCGAGGTGAACGGGAGAAGAAAAACAGCAAGCAGAAGAGCACACCTCAGGAGAGCAATTCTTCCATGGCTACTGGGCCGACTGATTTGTCTTTTTTTTTTCTGCAGCTGCACGCGCATCACTACGCTGGTTCGCCGGGAGAGAGCGGCCCATGAGACTGGTTCATTGTTTGTCGGTTTTTCTTTCTTTCCTTTCCTTTTTTTCTTTTGCTTCTAAATACTTTACTTATTATAGACACTTTTATATTAATAATGAATTGTTATAGAAGGAAATGCAACATAACTTAAAAATAGACATGATTGCAACATGCTAAGTTTTTCTTTTTCTTTTTTTTTTCTTAACATAACTCAAGTGGAACATGGGCTCTCGAGTTCAAATTATAGACTTGGTACGAGAGTCGAGAGCTCTTATTTTTCTAAATCTATTTTATGAAGAATCAACACTTTTTATTTAGTGGTACAGGATGGGACGATCAATGATGAGGCACTTGTGATAACTTTATCAATCGCAATATCTGATGACTAATGTCTGAAGGTGTTCGCATGGCCTGGGGTTCAGGTACGTGTTTCATAAAGATAGGTGTAGATATTTATGTAAACATCTACTTCGGTACTACATTCCTGAGGAAAATATTTATTTTTTCAACTTAGCTGCTATTATGATCTCGCTTAAATACATATACTACTTTGTTTGAAAATAACCTCATAGATAGAATCACACATTCAAATTTCTTTAGAAGGGAAGAAATATTACGATCATAAACATGGATATTTCTCTCTCGGCCTTCTTTGGAGCATTTAGACGTTTTAATTTTAAAAGAACAAATATAAAAAACCATGAAGTTAGTTGTACTACATAAAATAATTTTGAAAATTTCAAAGCAAGGGGTTTAAGGTTTTTTTTTTTGAATATTACAGGGGGTTTAAGTTCAAATGCAAGGTCACATGAGCATCGTGGAGAGTATCCCATCCCAGGAAGAAAACAGGGGGTCACAGGAAGAAACCAGGGGGTCAAGGTGGCAGCAATAATCATAATCACACAGGACATTTTTTTGTGACTAATCACACAGGACATTGACAAATGACATGAGCACATACTGTGTCGCGTTCGCTGTGTGAGGCCCGACCACGCCACGACTCCCGTCCCCTTCTCTCAGGCTCAGCACGAAAGCGAAACGAGTCCATACGAGCCGCGCGGCGTCGCCGTCCGTGGCCCGCCGCCGCTCGCCGGAGTAGCAGCAGCAGCCGTAGCGGGGGGTAGGCAAGAGGCACCGAATGGGGATCCTGGGCAAAGGCTCGGGGTGGTGCTTCTGCTCCCGCGGGGCCAAGCTGGAGCGGATCAAGTCCAGCCTCCTCGCCGCAAAGGGCGCCGCCGTAGCCGCCGTATCCTTCCCCAGCGGCGGCGGCGGAGGCGGAGGAGGAGGAGGAGCTGGAGGCAAAGGTGGGAGTGGGTTCCTCATCCACCGCGGCCTCCTGCTCACCACGCACGGCACCATCCCATCGGCCGCCGCGGCGGGCATCGCCGAGGTCCGGCTCAGCCACGGCCGCCTCCTAGCTCGCCTGGTGCCGCAGAGGTATTAGAACCCAGCGCATTTCTTGGTATCCCCTGTTTAGCTTCCTCGTGCCTTTGCTTGAAATTGCAATTTGGTGTCTGGCGATTCGATTTTTGGGATGAGCTCATCGCCCCCCGGGAATCTCTAGAATGGATTTTGGGTTAGAATGTGCGTTTCGGCAATTTTATTTGTGCTGCACTCGTACTTGGACAGTTGGACCTTGAGTCCTTGCCTCGGTGTAAAAGGATCTATTTTTACAGTTAATTGAAAGCTGGTAGTTGTAATTCCCCGGTGCAATAGTATTTGCAGCAATACTAGCTGTAAATAAACCTTTTTTTTTATCCGTTCCGCTTTTGTTTGCGATCCTGTCGTCCTTCCTGCATTTGAGAAAAGAGGTTTTGTTTGCGTGGAAGCTTGAGATTTGGGGGCATTGCGCTGGGGTTGACTTCCATAAGACCATATGGTTCAGAAGATTATTTTTGGCTTGTGGTCATGGACTTAGATAATCTTTCTGTCGTTGTTGCGCTTAGTTATTGTGGCAACAGTACATGCGAGTATTATTTCTAAAAAAAAAAAAAACAGTACATGCCGGTGGGGATAGGATTTCCGTTTTGTTTGGTTGGTGAGGAACAGATCGTGCCAATATAAATGCATTCTGGCATTCTGCTACCTTATTATTGATAGGATTTTGTGAGATTAAAGATCTACTATCAGTAGCAGATATATGGACCAGTGTAACACGAGAGATGTATGCTCACTATCGCATGCTCTCAGCTTGACTGCACGACACGCAAGTCAGCAAGCTTTGCTGCCATTCTGTAAGGGACGGGGGCCTAAAGCTGGTTTGTATAAACTGGCATAAATTCTTTTCAAATTTAGGTTGTCTAGCGTTGGAATGTCTTTCTGTTTATGTACAATCTCGCATAAATTCCTTTTCAAGTCTGGGTTGCAGATTGACTACTGGGTACATGAAGAACCTGTGGCAAGTAATATCTCCTGAAAAGTGGTCCTTGGATCTATTTATTCACTTAATTGATTAGCACAGTACATGTTTTAATGCATTCTTAGTTCAACATGGGATCAACCTAAATTTTCCTCTGGACTTGCACTTTATTGGCCAGCACTCGAACATTCAAAAGTTCAGTTGTATGAAATGATGAAAGGATATAAAATATTTAAAAGAAAATAGTGCAGAAAAAAGATACTATAATGCTAAATAAGAATAAGTGTTCTGAGCTCACGTGGGGCTTTGTTTTCCATGCCTTTGCCATGTTACTTACTCTCCACATTGTATTTCTTCATTTCAGGTTCTTTATTACCAGTTCTATTCTTGACCTTACAATAGTTGGCCTTGACGTCGTGGATGATGACCTGAGTTCACATGGGCAACAGCCTCATTTTTTGAAAACTTGCTTGAACCCCAGCTTGGACCTTGGCAGTACAGTTTTGCTACTGGGCCACAACAGAAATGATTTGGCTGTAGGAGAGGGGAAGGTTGTAATAGCTACAGACAACATTATAAAGTTCTCAATTGATGAAGTCTTGTGGCATCCTGGATCTGCTGGGTTTGATATGCATGGCAATCTAGCTTTTATGGTCTGTGATCCCATGAAGATTGCACCATCTACACCTAATGGGTATGCTGCTGCATCATCAACTGCCCTTTGTACATCAAAAAAGGATGTGCCCACACAGTTTGGGATCCCTATCCCTGCGGTATGTGAATGGTTAAAACAACACTGGAATGGTAGATTAGAAGATGTTAGCAAGCCGATGATGACTCCTGCACGATTGACAACCTCTGGAGAACGAAGTGGGCGTTCTTCCCTTGGTCATCTTCGTTATATTAAGTCCACAGAGGTAGAAGGTGGTGATGTTTTGTCATCATCACAGATGCCACCAAGACCAACATGGCAGCATGGAGCATGCAGTTCAGCATCTGCCAAGATTTCACATGACGAAAAGGATTCGATTGGCTCACATTCTTTCCATGGGCAACATGAGCTGACCTCAAAAATTTGCAAACCTCAGAAAGAGCAAGTTACTTCACTTGTGGAGCATTCAAGATCTATTCGCCTACCCCTTCCCTTAAAGCAAATGATGCCCGATGAGAACAAGAATGAGGCGAACAGGCAAGCTCCACACAGAACACAACCATCTAATGTGCAAATGAACTGTGGCACTCTTCACAATGTTGCTTACCATGAAAATTGCTGGAGTGAGGTGCAGTCCAGTTCCTCCCCACTTGCAATATCCGAATTAGGAGATGAGAAGAATGGTTTTAGCAGCGGGGAGGAGACAATGTACTCCGCTGAAACAAGGGAAAGCCGGAACATTCCAAGTCCAAAGGAAAAGAAAACCGAGATGGTTGGTAGATCACAGAGTTTTGTGAACCATAGCAAATGGGACTCGCCTAAAAGTGTTGAATCTTCTAGAGGGTTTCCTTCAAAGTCACAGACCTTCATTCCTTTAAGGAAACCACATCTGCAGGCTGCAGCCATTTCACAGAAGAGCCAAGATTATTTCAGCCCGACTGTCTCGTCGAACATGAAGAAGAGGAACTTGTCCCAAACTCCCATGAAACCCAGGCAGCGTGCTCAAGTTACCTCGAAGTGGATAACTTGATGCATTCGCCTGCCCAGGAATCATACAGAGATAACATGTTTTGGTTTACTCAGTTCCATGCTGCATTTCTTTTTCTTTTCCTTTATCCTTTTTAGTTGCATTTGTAAATGCATTCTAGTCATGAACTGTGCTCTAGTCATTCTTATCTAGGGTACCATATGTTAGGAAATGCTGTTATTTACCCTGTAATCCTCTACTGAAGGGTTGCCATTACAAAATACAGCCTTTTTTCCCCTCCTGACACCCGTAGCTAATGAGAGGTGAGAAGTGTGGGACTTGGTCTTCTTAACTCTCAAGTGTCAGCTCAAGGGATAATTTACAGGAATGCATTGCCCTTGCTGGATTGCTCTTGAAGCTCTCTACAAGGTTGTGCGCTTTGTTGAGCCAAATGATGTTACAGTTCTGCAATCGTGTGGTTTCCCTTTCTGTGGTTTTCTGCGACCTGCCCAACTTCGTGAAGTATGTTTAGCTCACTGCAAACCTGAAGGATATTCTGGAACGAGTCAAGAAGAACATTTCGATTCCATTCCTTCTGTAGTTCCGTTGGAGAAAACACTCTCGGCCTTGTATGATGCATAGCGCCCCCCACCAGCCAACCTCCCCTACCAGGCTACCATATAGTGTGTGCGAAATTCATGCATCCCTGAAGGATAGATTTGTTTTCTAGACTAATAGAAAAATACTGAACTTTTCACGAAATCCATGCATCCCAAACAAGGTCAAAGTATAGCTCTTCTCATAACATACCCCCTCCGTCCCTTTTTGTTGGTCGCTCGGGACCTGTGCCTGTGAGAGAAACACGTTTCCCAACCGACAGTCAATAAAGGACAGAGTAGTACATTTGTAGCTCAATAGCCGTGAACCAAAAAATAAAAGAACATTCATAATACTAGAAAATATAATATTAAAACTATACAATTAAGAGAGACCCGTGATCATTATTTCTTTCTTTTTCTACATGGTTGCAGAGTAATTATAGCCAATAGATTGTAAGAGGCATACAATGCACCATGAAATTATACCCGGATAAAGAAAATCAATCATCTAGAAATGTTGGAATTGTAGCGTCTTTGTATGATGAGCCATATTTTTATTTATTGAAATATGACATTGACAAGAATTTGAATGAATTAGTGATGAATTTTATATTAACAAATCATGATGCTAATCTCTTCTCCCAAACCTGGCTACCCACTCATCTCATCTTCAAAACCTTGTGAGCCCATTGTTCCACGGCATTGTAGGATAACATAAGTTAACATAAAACATGAATTCTGAATAGCAAAACACAAGATAATAAAAAAATTAAGTATTGATTACATAATATATTTTTATTTTGCCCAATACATTTGAGCCTCCATGATCTCTAATATGTCTAGGATTTTCTATACCAGATTATGATGGCTGCATACTCCATCATGTACATTATCACCGATTAGGAAACCATACAGAACACCAAGAAGTGTAGAATTAATAAGCTATTTATCATCTTGTGAATTACTACAAGTACTAAATGGCAATGAGTGCGATGGGGATAACCATCATTTGGTTTTACTGTCAAAGACATGTCACTATATAGTATTCTACAACCACTATTGCAAACATATATAATATAGTTGTCTTTATTGAAACAAAAGAGATATATGATTCTGTACCTATCTCAACGATGTCTAAATGACAAATGTAAACAAAAAAAAAATCCCGCAGCCACTACTGTACAAAGTGAGAATAATCTGTTGTTTCTAAACCAAACTTAGAAGGTTATGTATTTGTTAGGTTGAGGAAGGAAAATCTTCTCCTATGCTTGAGATTACACCTCCTCCCATTCCTAAGGGTCTTAAAAATGAAATCAAGAGTGGACAAGGTCCGAGCTTCTACCGACATCATCTTCACTATCTCTGATGATAGATGTTAGATTGTTGGTGCTATGTTATGGTTGATAATTCTAACCAACATTTTTCCTATATCGGGAGTTCATTTAATCTAAAAAGTATTTTCATGTGTCATAGATATGCAACATGTTTTTGTGCTGCCATGGTTCCTGTGTATCTAGTGCTCATAGGTATGAATAAATGAATTGAATGAAAAGATGATTGAATAACTAAAATGTTGAACATAGAGCAATTGTTTAAAAAATTGCATGTTCAAAACCATAAACCTAGGATTATTGACAAAGGCAATTAGTAGGAGATTCTAAACTATATGAACATAGGATCAAGCATGAACTGTGTTTAACTTACTGATGAAAATAATTATTGATGTTCCAACATTGTTCATTCGTATTAAAAAAGTTCTATCCAACGAGGAATGGTGGGAGGACTCCCTGACCTTTGTGTTGCACGGGATCCATCAGCCTTGGCGAGGCTAACTTCAATAGAGATTCTGCAAATTAAATAATAAAACTCCTCGTTAACCACATTAAACAAAGAACACAAGCCTACAAATGTAATAATAAACCAGGCTATTGTTTTCTAGACCACACCTCAAACTTCTAATCATAACTTGTGACAAAGAGAGCATGCATTTCTTCACTTAAATATTGCGGATTTAGTATCAAAGCTATTCTAAATGCAAACATGCAAAGCTAACTTATGTTCTTGCAGAATGTCATACAACATATTTCGTTTATTCATTTAACCACTACCGATTCAATATCAAAGTTCTGAAGTATTGTATGTAGCTTCATATACCATGAGCAAATCATGTTCAAATTAACAAGAATAAAAGATTAAAGATACCATTTGTTGCCCCATAAAACACCAAAAAATGTTATTCTATCTCTATAGCACGCTTACATGTAGACTCTATGGATGAGGTGAGGTCTAATGTATCCATGACCTTACCACACATTGTCCCCTGGTACGCAATATGCACCTTCACTCTGAGTCTCTCATCGTCCCTAAATTCTGAACTGTTTCTGATGGTGTGAAAAAGGAAAGAAAATTCCCATTTAACAATGCCTGCTTTTTTAATGTTATAAACTTAGACCAAAAAATAACCATACCATAAGCCGTATAACAAACAAATAGAGAATGATCACACGAGCTCTGTCTGAATCCAGCTTCACCCATGGACCCATGGCCCATGAATAGGAAAATGCACGGCTAGCATTGAGTGTATTTTTGGATAGAGGCCTCCTAAGCAACAATCTGAATCCCAGACCTCCGAACATAGACACCTGAGATTCATGCCGAGACTAGGTAGCTTTGGCTGGGCTCAAACCAAACAGACCTTAAGTGGCGAGCACTTGACCTCTTCGAGCGCGCCTAATCCTCTACCTATGAATAGGTAAAAGAAAAAGGAAAATTTTCTCTTCGCTTGGAGCACAGTTTTCCTTGCCTCAAAAGGCACAACTCTATTGCCTTTCCTCCTAAAAGCTTCTCTTTCGATTCCTTCGCTTTAAACATGTCCCCTCTTTTCCTTTCCTCTGGAATTGAAACAGTCATTTTTATTATAGTTTTCTGTAACACCCCGGTGTTATGCCTGCATTTAGGCACTGCAAATCACGCATATCATGCATCATCAAGTATCCAAATCATACATGCATAATCTTGCATATAACAACTGACGCATTACTTCGAAACATACGAAACATGTTTGTGAAACGTAAATGGTACATACACTTATTATAGTTGTTTTGCCCTGATTTTGCTTGCTAGTTTAGTAGAAACTGTTTGGTTATGATTGTAAATCATCTAGAATTGTTTAGCACAATTTTTGGAGCAAGGTTTGTATTTGAATTATTGCCAAATTTTGCTTTAAAAATAATTCCCCAAAATTAGGGTTTTGAGTTAAAATTTGACTTTGATTTTTTTTAATTCAAAATCTATAAGAAATTGGACTTTGGTCATGTAATCAAAGTTGTAGAGGATAAAATTTTGAGCAACTTTCATTTTTGGTCCAAAGTTTGAAACTGCTTTAATTTAGTCCAAAAATTCGTTTGAATGAAAAAGGGATTCAAATTAATTTGAAAAATCTGGTTTTACCCTCGTGGGCCTTGCGCCTCGCTAACGCCCGCCTTGCAAGCTGAAATTTCACCCAGCCACCTGGCTGGCCTGCTTCTCTCAAGGCTTCGCCTTGGCCCAAGAATTAGCCCCTTGAGCCCAGCCCCTCCAGCGCCCGCTTCGCTGCGCTTTTCAGCGCGCTGCGCCGACGACGCCGAAGAAGCCGATCACGTGGCGCCACCCGTCGCCGAGCTCGATCACATGGTGCCACGCGCCACGGGCTTCCCTGCCAGCTGCTGGCCGAGTCTTGAGCACCCTGCGCCCACCGCATTCCAAATAGCTCGCATTTCTCTCTCTCGCTGCCTCTCTGCCTCTCACCGCTGCGCATTATATAGCCATCACAAGACCGCTGCCTCACGGAGCAAGCTCGCCCGGCCGTCCTAGCTTGCCATTGAGCCCTCCATCTCGCCCGCATCTCCGACTCATCTTCGCGCACCTCGTGCTCGCCTCGGTAAGCAGCGAGAAGCTCCCTCTCCCTGGGAATCTCTCGCCGGAGTTGTGGCCGAGCTCACCGGAGCGCTCCGCTCTGTGGACCTCGCCCTCCGTCTTTCTTCCAGCTGTCTTTTCGCGCGCGCGACCACCGCACGAGCTCAGTGAAGCTCCCGCTCCATTTTTCGCGCCCCTTCCTAGCCGGAGTTGGCCGGCGTACCTCAGCAGTGGCCTTGTTGATCGCCATTATCGCCGGCGACCTCCTTTGCTGTATCTAGGGGGTCCATTTTCTACTTCCATCGGTGCGGGACAACCTGTTGTGCACGCCGGTGCCGTCGGTTTCGTCGGGGAGATCACCGTCGGCGAGCTCGGCCATCGCCAGCGATGATGTGTGCGTCTCCACATTCGTTCGTGTCAATGACATGGGGTCCCGCATGTCGGTCGCCGAGCCAAGGAGAGCAGTGGGCTGCGCCGTTCTGGGCCATGGGTGTGCGTGATGAGTAGGGGCGATTCGTTTCAATGGGCCGCCCGAAGAGAGTTTTAAAGAATTGTTTTCCATTTATTCTT